AATTTCTATAGAAATACCTCTTTCAAGGATATCCTATAGACCTTCAGCAACCCTTTATCATGACCAATGAGTTAAAATATGTTTAGCTTTTCCATCATTTAAATTCAGTGGAATCATCCTTTGAATATAGTAGGAAAAGCCGTATGATATTTTTCATGTGGCACTTGATTCCTTCTTGAAGAAGAATTATATTATTCTTATTGGATCATTATCTATGCCATTGTTAAGGTTAAGCACAAACCATACTCTGATACTAATTGAAGGTGTGAAAAATACACAAGAAGGGGGGTTGAATTGTGTTTCGCGTTTTCTTTAATCTAACTTCTGATCAGAGTTTCAGAATCAGAACTGGTGTTCAGATTCTGTTTTAATTTATTGGCAGCGGATATAACTGAAGTAAACAAATAACAACAGATAACATAAAAGATATATCTTGGCTCCTCCCCTAACTGAGAGTACTCCAGTCCATTTGCCTCACAAGAGATTTTCATTATAACCACGTCATGAATACAATCGCTTATACTTCTGCGTAAGTCTTTTACATTTGCTCAGACCAACTGTCTGAGACTTTCTTGCTCACATCCTCTGACCGAGTCACCTGCTCTTTTGACCATCCAGATTGAGACTTCCTTGCTCAAGCAGCACTTGAGACTTCTTGCTCACGCCCCTCAAACAAAGACTTTCCCTTTTCTCAATCAGCCTAGCTGAATAGGACTTTCACAACTCAAGCACTTAAGCAATGAGACTTATGTGACTTACACATTTGGTCTCAAGACTTCTGTTCAATCAGCCATGCTGATTAAGACTCTTACAGCTCAAGCACATAGCAGGAGACTTATGTAGCTCAAGCATCTTGGTTTAAGACTTGTTGCTTGAATCCCAATGAGACGACTTTTGCTCAAGCATATAGCAAGAAATTTTGATCTAAATCGCTGAACATTCCCAGTAGGATAGAGAGCAAGGTATACATGATACAAGTATCAGAGGTACGAGAAATCGCCAAAACAAAGACCTAAAGCACTTAAGATTTCTAAGATATACAATATTTAAGAAATCTTAAGGCCTTTACAATTACAACCTACAAACAGAAAATCTTCATATTACAATATAGTTGGTAATTGCTTGATCTTGATACTCCCTCGTCTGGAGAATCCTTGTTCTAATTTTCAGTAAGAACCTTCAGCCATATTTATAGCCTTTGCAGAAAACTAGTTGTTGAGGAAGTAACTTGATCAAGTGTCTTTGTCTTTGCCCCATAGTATAAGAGACGTTGAAGATGGATGCATATCAGATTCTGAATTTAGTGTGTAACACATTTAACCTTTGAGTCTTCAACAGGTTCTCGTACTGATAGAGTCGTTAGAAGAAGTCATCCATAACGCATGTTAAATTTTCTTGAGCCTTGAAATATGTAGACTTTGACTGATAAACTGATAAGACATCACAGTTTGCTTTATGGAGTATGGTCGACTTCTAACTCTATCACCAACTCTGAGTGGTACCAGATTCTGATATACAATTTCTAAGTGTAGTGACTCGTCTAAATACTGGACCTTTAGCACCAGAGTCTGCGCCAAGCCACAACAGCAAACGTTCTTCAGATTCTGCCACCAGAAGTTAGCAATGAAGCAACTCCCAAGTGTGTCTAAGTAAAACAGATTCTGATTATTTATCTACAAGAAAAAGAATCTGCATAAATAAAACACACATCAAATAAACCATTTTTCTTTCAATAATTTTGTTATCATCAAAACTAAAAGAGAATATGTCATGAACAACTCTTGTTCTAACAAACGAGTCTCTATGGAATCCGAGGATTTTCAGGATTCCATACGAAAAAGCTCGAACTCCTTTGTTAACATATTGATCTTAGAATCATTGACGTCTTTAGTTACCTTATAAAGGGTTTGAAGAGCATTCCACATAGCTTGTGCACTCTTATGATGTGAAATTGTGTAGAATACTTTCACGCCTAAAGTTGGGATAAGTATATTTCAAGCCTTTTTGGTTTCATCATTTGTCCAATCCTTTGGGTGTTTAATAACGTCATCGCCACCTTTTGGAATAAAAGGCTCGTCGGTGACTACTACCCATATATTTTTGTCAACTGATAATAAATGTACATACATATTTTCTTTTCATATAAACATAATTGTCACCTTTAAAAACGGGTGCTCTAGAGGGGGAGGCGTGAATACACACATTTAAAAAAATTGACTGATTCTCAAAATGAAATATCAGAGTTTTTCAAAGCGGAAGTATTGTAGCGAAAATTGAGATCTTCTGCTTGAATTGGAAATTAACCACGAATTTCAAGACATGTCTCCCTCAATAAAGGAAAATCTTATCAATCAAGATATGAATTTAAACTAGAGGTTGAAGATGAAAGAATTTCTTTTGCAAGACATTTTGATTTTAAAAAATGGAAGTTGTTGTATGTTTCTGGTTGTTATGAAATGAAATGATAAAATAATTTATATGTGCTGGAAATTAATCACAAAAATAGATGAAAATGGTTGTTAAATTTGAATCAAGAATATTTGTTGATTTGAATCAAATGAGTAAATAAAATAGAACAAAATCCACGTAAAATAAGTGACATATTTCCTATGATTCAAGTCAAATTATTTCTTTGACTCGTTCTTATATAGTTTCAACATGATAGTATTTTCGCAGATCACCCCATGAAACTTTAAACCATTATCCACGCATGAATCACATTGTGCACTGTTGTGATATTTATACATAGTTTACATTAAATCATTCATATATTTGTGAATTTTGATGGCTTCATTTCGTTCTTCTTTAATGGTTTGTCTCTTTTCAAACAAACTGTTGTTAACTTCTCCAAGATCTAAGTGTTTTTTTATAGTTGATGGGCATTCATACTAAGAGGAGTGTTAATAACACTCTCTTTTTAACACTCTCTCAAACACTCACTTTTTTATTGATTAAAATATGTGTCGGTTCCTCACTTTGTAAATAGGTCCCACATAAAGTAGTAGGACCCACACATATTTTAACCAATAAAAAGTGTATATTAAAGAGAATGTTCAAAAGAGTGTTATTAACATTTCTCTTCATACTAAATAGAGAAATGTAATAAAAATATATTGTGTAATTTATGACAAAATATGATCAAATAATGTGTGTTCGAGAAGCCTCTCTATTTCAATAAGTCAAAAGTTCCTTTTCTCTCTTTTCAAAGAAAAAGAGAGAAAAAAAATTTCTTTTGCAAGACATTTTGATTTTAAAAAAATGGAAGTTGTATGTTTTTGGTTGTTATGAAATGAAATGATAAAAGAATTTATATGTGCTGGAAATTAATCACAAAAATAGATGATAATGGTTGTTAAATTTGAATCAAGAATATTTATTGATTTGAATCAAATGAGTAAATAGAATAGAACAAAATCTACGTAAAGTAAGTGACATATTTTCTATGATTCAAGTCAAATTATTTCTTCTATTCGTTCTTATCTAGTTCCAACATGATAGTATTTTCGCAGATCACCCCATGAAACTTTGAACCATTATCCACGCATGAATCACGTTGTGCACTGTTGTGATATTTATACATAGTTTACATTAAATCATTCATATATTTGTGCATTTTGATGGCTTCATTTTGTTCTTCTTAGATGGTTTGTTTCTTTTCAAACAAACTGTCGTTAACTTTTCCAAGATCTAAGTGTTTTTTATAGTTGATAGGCATTCATACTAAGAGAAGTGTTAGCAACACTCTCTTTTTAACACTCTCTCAAACACTCATTTTTTTATTGATTGAAATATGCATGAGTTCCTCACTTTGTAAATAGGTTTCACATAAAGTAGTAGAACTCACACATATTTCAACCAATAAAAAAGTTAATATTAAATAGAGAAATGTAATAGAAATATATAGTGTAATTGATGACAAAATAATGATCAAATAATGTAATAGAAATATATAGTGTAATTGATGACATTTCATTAACTAATTTTATTTCACTGATTTAAAAACACTGTTCACGTACTGTACATATATTATTTATATGCATTGTTCATGTACTATAAATATTATTTTTTATTTATTAAAAAAATAAAAACCCTATTTACTATATAAATACGAAGAACCGTGTTTGATGTAAATATTTGATATAGAAAATGAGTGAAAGAATAACATTGTTGTTTTTCAAATAACTATTTTTATAATTTTCACGACATTCCACAACAATATCTTGATTCTCTTTTATTCACAAACATTAATAAATAAATTAGTAATTACTCTTTATATAAAAATTTCTATCGAATAATTATATTTAATAATATTAAATAGTCTAACAAATTCATATTATTAATAATTAATTTTGACATATTGTATGATAGTCAACATATTGATCTAATAAGGTTTAATTCTTTTCTCTATCTTTATCAATTTTTTTTCTAAGCTGCTCAAGTTTTTGTCGAAGTATCAAATATTTAATAGTATTTGGTAATGAAATTTATAATTGTTTTTTTGTGTGTTGATATTATTAAATCATTTACTAGCAATGACTTGTACTAACATGGAGGCGACAATGAAATTTTGAGAAAAAAGATGAGTCACTTTAAAAATTTTGATTTTATGAGAATTTTTCTAATAAGATGTGACTATCAATTTGATTAACAACATTTTCTATTGTATGCCATATATTGATTAAAATTAAATAAGTTTATGGTTCATTCGACTCTAATAATTTAATTGAAGAATAAATATTGGATGTCTGTTTTAACTTTAAAAAGAATATCAATAAAATATTATGATTGAAAATTTTAGGGAATTTAAATGAATTTTATTCATATATATTTTATACCCATGGAGATGCAAGGGTTTTTTTACTAGTGTACTTCATAATAATTATGATATGCGCCATTAACAAACCATATGTATACATCTTAAAATCCTGACACCCGCTAACATAAGCGTCTTGGGTGAAAGAGTTAACAATAAAAAAAAAAATTATTCAGCCACTTATTCTTTAAATGGGGTAAAGGCTTTCCTTATAAATGAGGATTTGACAAAAATGCCGTGGCCCTTTAATGCCAAGCTCTTGAATCATCTGGGTACTCAAATTAAACAAAACTAATTCATCATCTTTTTTTCTAAAGAATAAATCACCATTATTTCCCTCTCCAATAGGATGTTCAAGATAAGGTAAATGACCTATAATAAAGAGTTCAGTCCATGATTCTTTGACACTAAATTCACCCAAAATTGATATGTGAAAAGTAGTGGTCCCTACATAATATGAGATTAAAGCAATGGACTCATTTAATATCATCAAGTGTCTCAGTATCTCCCAGGAATTTGAAGGGAGAGGTGTTGTATAAAACACCTCATTATGTAAATCTAATGACACCAAAGAAGGTTCACCGTCCTTGTCACCATGCCAATGACACATTCCCTTCATTGACACAAAGACACCTACATAAGCATGAATACAAATAGGCATATCTAGATCAAGTTTCTTCCAAGAGTTGCTTTTTAGACTACATATCTCCCATGTGTCATCACGTGACACTTTGATTGGCTTACCTTCCATATCATCCTCAAAGTCACTTAGATATAAACGATAAGATACATGTCGAATCACTTTGTAGTCATCTCTAACATAATCATAACCAAATCCATGATAAAAAAAAGTTCCACCCTCATAAATTATCGATGACTCAGTAGGGCTGGAAGGAAGGGTCTTTGATTCTTGGGTAGCTGGGTTCCATAATAAAACACAAGGTGTTTGTCCTTGGTAGAGACAAACGACACCATTAATAACAGGACCCAGAATGTGTACAGCTTGGTTATCCCCTTGAAATAGATGTGGCCAATCTAATTTGACCTTATTCTCAAACCTTTTACCAAAAATCAAATAAAACTCAGGAACATCGAGAACATATGGAAGATATGGCAGATCTTTTTGTAGAAGAAAACATGAACCCTCGTCAAAATAAGAATTGTCACTAGATATGAAATTGTTACGATACACATTCATGAAAATAGGATTTTCAAATAAGAGTGACCATAATTTGCGTACACAACTAAATCGTTTTAAAGATTTAAGAGGCAATTTTGACAGAATAGATAATGTAAGATCATCAGAAACGTAATGACTAACCTTTTCAGTTGCAATTGGTTTTTCCATCTTCTCACCTTACTAACCTACCTACAGTAACAATTATTTTGAAAAGAAATAAGTGTTCGTCACTCAAATAGTTTCTCAAACATTTTATAATACTAGTAATTAGAAAGAAAAAAAATTTGGAAAATAGTTTTTAATATTTTCTTTTCATAAAAATTAAATTTTTTAATATTATATAATTTATATATTTTGACAAAAACTAAATCGATAAGTAATCTTAATATGGAATATTTTATAAATAATATTAAATCTTAATCGATAAGTAATCTTAATATGGAATAGTACTAATCAACTAAAACTTTACTTTTATAAATATAATATTATATAATTTATTTATTTTGGCAAAAACTTAATCGATAAGTAATCTTAATATGGAATATTTTATAAAATATATCATGGACAAAAAATATTTTATCTTCATTGGTCTTATCCTACTCATCAATGCCATATCATTAACAATATATATTTTTTCTAACAAGAGGATCAATAAAATTTTAAATGATGTAAAGTTGAGGAAATAAAATATTAATTTTTAAATAAATTAATTAAAAACTATCAAATTATTGAGATAAAAATTTGAGTTTTTTTTTATATAAATAATATATCCCGTTAAATTAGTTGCATAGAGATATCCACTATAAGAGTTTATGTTTGAATATGCGTCATTCAACTTCTCTTCATTAAAAATGCAAATCCCAACCATTAAACTATTTAATATAAAAAATAATATAACAATTTATAATTTTTCTCTTTTTGAAAACATAATTATAATACTTTATATAAAATTCACAGTCTCAAATTTACAAACATGATTATAATTGTATTACATATTATAATATTTAATAAATACGTAGATTTAAAATTTTTATACAGATCAATACAATGTTTAATGACATGAAGGTGAGTGGGCATATTTTTAAGGAAATATTTTAAAAGGAAGTTTTTTTTTTTTTTTTTTCAGTTCAGAGTCAATTTTGACATCAAATTATTTTAATTTTTTATTAATTAATTGTGAGATATTGGACTGTGGTTTTTTCAATTAAAATCAATGTCAATTACCTATGAACCAATTAACAATAAAAATAAAAATAAAAAGAGTTTTATTACAACGTGATTTACATTTTAATAGTAAATACCTTTGATTAGTATTTGTTAGACATAGGTCGCCGTGTCCATGTGCCATGTTCTCATATATAAATACCTTTGATTATATATATATATATATATATATATATATATATATATATATATATATATATATATATATATATATATATATATATATATATATATATATATATATATATATATATATATATATATATATATATATATATATATATATATATATATATATTCTTTCTCTTTACCTTCTCTCTAACTATTTGTTTTTCTCCTCTCCCTTATATTCAATTTTTTTGTTTTTAATGTAGCTATTGGCTTAATGTGAGAAGTGTCGGTGTTGCTGGTACTCGGTCAACCGGTTTAGGCGAGGTGTCCTTCAATGTTGTTTTTTCTTTTGCTCTGGAGATTTTACGGTTTCGGTGATAGATAGTCGATTTCTTTGTTGTCATTCATCGGTTGAATTTCTGGTTATCTTTTTGGACCTAAATCGTTCATTGATTCTGATTTTGTGGTTGGTGGTGGTATGCCTTGCTTTTGATTTTTGAGTCATTTCAGATTTGTTGAGATCTATAATTACCAAAGCGTTCGAGTTGATGTTTCCATAACAACAATTTTGTTTTGTTTCATAACCTTGTCGCCATCGTGTTGCACTTTGTTATGGTCTGCTGTGGACTAGCTTTGGTTAACTTGAAAGAACATTTATGCTTGCTGTGATTTATTATAGAGCGTTGTTGGTTCGTGAATTGGTTCGTGGTCGATTCATTCTGTAACACCTAAAATTTTATGGGAATATTTATTTAATTTATTTAAATAAGAATATTCGCATTTTGGTAATTTTCGGTTATTTATTTAAATAATAGTATATAATATGAAGATATTGGTATTATTATTAATTTAAATAAATATAAGTTAACTAAGGACAAATTGAATAATTGAGGAGGAGTTAGTGAGGGTAATATTGGAAAACCCAATTTTAAGGCTCAAGGTTAAGTTTAACAAAAATGAATTTTGATGGGATTAGGTTTCATTCTTGTTAGACCGTGAAAAGAAATTGAAGCCAGAGCTCTGAAGAGGAGGTTTGAGGCAAAAGTTTCGAAAGGTTTTTTGAAAGTCAAAGAGAAGGCTTAGAGTCAGCAATTAAGGTATGAGGAGTATTGCCTTCATTGTATAATTTCGATGTATTTAAAGTCGATTTAAGGGTTTAAAGGATTTAAGGCTGATTTTGAGATAAAGGGAATTAGGCCTTCGTGGCCAAATCTTATTTGTGAGGTTTTAACCGTATAGAGATTTATTTGGGTTAAAGGGAAATTAGGCCTTCGTGGCCAAAGATCTAGTTTGACATTTGTTTAACCCTGTAGGGAAATTTGATAGTGAGAAACTCTAATGAATGTGGGTATTTGTAAGTAATTATGTGAATTAGAGCGTGAATATGATACGAGATTGGCTTAATAAGTCGTAGATTTTGTGCCTTCATCGCCGTAAGACCTTAGGGATGATTTAGGGATGTTTTTGGGTTATTGGAGAAGTGAATCGTGGGACTTTTGGGTTGATTTTAGGTTCTGGTGCGTAATAGTGTTTTGCTATAATCGCGTGTTCGCACATCGAAGAATCATTCGCACAACGAACGAAGCTTGTAACACCCCAAATTTAATTGAAATATTTATTTAATTTATTTAAATAAGAATATTCGCGTTTTGGTGATGTTCGGTGGTTTTGTGGAATATTGAGAATTAATGCATTTTGGATTGTTTATTTTGAATAATAGTATATAATATGAATATATTAGTATTATTATTAATTAAAATAAATATAAGTTGAATAAGGGCAATTTGGACAATTGAGAGAAGTTAATAAGGGTATTATTGGAAGCCCAATTGTGAGGCCCAAGGCTAGGTTTAACAAAAAGGAAATTGTGAAGGAATTAGGATTCATTTGTTAGACTGTGAAGAGAATTGAGGCCAGAGCTCTGAGGAGGAAGATTGGAGGTAGAAGCTTCGGAAGGTTTTCTGAAAGATTTGAGAAGGCTTTGAGTCGACAATTAAGGTATTATCTTCAATGTGTAAATTTCAATGTATTTAAGATCGATTTAAGGGTTTAAGGCTTTTGAGGCAAATTATGAGAAAAAGAGATTTTGGCCTTCGTGGCCTAAATCTATTATTGAGATGTTAACCATGGGAATTCATTGGGGTAAAAGGAAAATTAGGCCTTCGTGGCTAAAACTCTGATTTGACATTTCTCTAACCCTGAAGGAATAGGAATATTAGATAGTGAGTAATTCTAATGAGTATGAGTAATTGTAAAGAAATTTGTGATTTAGGGCGTGAATATGACAAGGGATTGGCCTAACAAACCGTAGGTTTTGTGCCTTTATCGTTGTAAGACCTAAGGGATGATTTAGGGATGTTTTGGGGGCATTGGGAGAGTGAATCGTGGGGCTTTTAGGATGATTTTAGGTTCTGGTGCGTAGTAGAGTTTGATGTCATCGCGTTGTTCGCCTAGCGAAGAATGCTTCTCACAGCGAACGATTTGGTCCTAGACTCGCCTAGCGAAGAATCCTTTGCACAACGAAGAAAATCGCCCCAGACTCGCCTAACGAACTTGCTAGCGAATGTAGCAGAGTTTCGCGAATGCTGATTTTGTGCAGCGATGCCTTGATGTTTTGATGTTGTGATTTATCTAATGAATTAACATGATTATGATTGTGAATTCTATGTGATGTGTATATGGTTATATGATGAATCCTATGATGTAATGATTGATGAGCTATGATGATATTACCATGAGTTTTGATGAATTCTATGATGACATGAGATATGACGATGATTATGATGAATGATGATGCACCTATGATGTTATTATGAGGATGATTTGTGACGTGTGCATCATACATTCATGTGCATCCGAACTTCGGTTCAGGACCTCGATTACTTTGGCTTCAATCCCATTGTGTGGATGTGAAGTATTTTGATGTGCTACGATTCTCAAGTAGAATCGATCCTATTGATGGGGATCTATAGAGGGTTGATGGCCCATTGTCCATTGAGGTGTGATGATTGGTACCACATGCATTGAGTCTTGTTGCATTTGCATTTATGGGATGATTGTGAGTAAATTGTGATGTCGTGGCCTTTGATGCATATTGATGAATATGATGATGTGGAATATGAAAATGACACCATTTTACATGTTGATTTTCTACATTGATTATTATGAATAGTTTTACTCACCCTACCTGTTTGAATGTTGCCTCCTCGTGGGTAACGTGCAGATGACCAGGTTTAACCGTGGACGTTGTTGAGGACTTTTGAAGTGTTTGAGTTGTTAGCCTTTTGGTTAACTTAGAGGGTCTTGCTCTGATAGTGTAACATCGGGTTGGAGTCTTTGAGTTAAACTATGTTTTATTTAGTTATTTTGATTATCTTTCCCGTATAAGGAAAACTTTGGATTACGCCTTTGAGTTCCGCTGCCTTTGTGCAATTTTTGATGTCTTTTGGGAAAACCTGTTGTTTACGGAGCCTTGACCTATTTTGAGTTATTGGAAAATGTACGCCCTTTTGCGGTGATTTTATTGTGTTTCATATTTTACTCTGATATATGCGAATAAATGTGCCTTTTAATCGTGGGGTAGAAAAGGGTGTTACATCAGTGGTATCAGAGCAGGTCGGTCCGTCTGGCCAAGTTGTCTAATATTATTTGTTCCCTAGTGTGCGACATGTGTGTGAAAACACTGTTGATGCACGTTTGTTTTCTAAACTTTGTCTGCAGAAGTGGGAATGAAACAAGTGGGGGAGAAGCTTGTGCTTCTCCAGGATGCTTCAAGTGTGGAGTGGTGCCTCAGTGTGTCGATGAACGCTCTTATAGTTTAGTAAAGATGGTTT